AGCTGTGTGACCCTGGGCAAGTCACTTAACCCCATTGCATAGCCAAAAAAAAAAGTTCTTTAGTGAGTGACCACATATTTAGACATCAGTGTTGAGTCAGATGTAGAGCACAACCTGTACGTACACTTTCATAAAAGCCATGCAAGAGGAAGGGTGTGGAAGGAAGGAAGGGAGAAAGGGGAAGAGAACACTTTACCCAACCCCAGGGTATCAGTGTACACTTTGAATGGTGCCATCCCCTAAGAGGGGAAGATGTGCATATGGGTGTGATGTTGAATCATCTCCTGACTAGGCTGGCTGTGAAGAGGAAAACTAACCATTCATCAACGTTCAGGAACCCTCAGGGGATGGGAGGGCAAGGGAACACATCCTTGGGTGTGAAATGAAAAGCACGGCATCTCTTGGCAAGCCTCAGTAATTCATTCCCAATTGGAGGAATTTCCAGGAAATGGGAGTTTGCAATAAGCTTGATTTTTATCACTGGTGTAATGACACCCCACTGATGATTCCTAAGGAAGTAACTCTGGGAATGTGATCTAAGCAGCTGGACTTATGGAGACACAAAAATGTTAGACCAACCTTGTAAATGAGAACAGATCTCTTTGCAGTCCTGGAAATGATAGACTATTAGAGGGGAAAGGGCCCCAGAGATCATCTAGTCCTTTCTGTTGTTGTTCAGGCGTGCCTGACTCTTTGTGACCTCATTTGGCAGAGATACTGGAGTGGTTTGCCATTTCCTTCTCCAGCTCATTTTAGAGATGAGGAAACTGAGGCAAACAGGGTGAAGTGACTTGCCCAGGGTCACACATTTAGTAAGTATCTGAGGTTGGATTTGAACTCACAAAAATCAGTCCACTGTGCCATCTAGCCCTACTCTCTCCTTTTACATGTGAGGAAAGTGAGGTCAGGAGCGAAGCTGAAGGTCACTCAGCTAGCTGGTGACAAAAGCCAGGATAAGAACCTAGGCCTCCTGACCCCTAGTCTGGTCCTTTTCTAAGCCCACACAAGATTTCAGTTACCAGAGTTGCCTATTCTAGTTCACATGTATCTGAAAGTAACTTTTGAATCAGCATGTAGTCCATTCATGGTCATGAAGACACATGGTAATTGTCTTCAAGTGCAGGAAAGAAGGGCGGCCATGCGGGACCTAGGTTAGACCTGATGCTTTCCTTGTCCCCCAAGGGCAGAAATAGGAATAATGGGGGGCAGGGGGGAGTTGCAGAAAAGCAGATTTAGACCCGATGTCAAGAAGCTCTTCATTATGGTCAAGGCTATGTTCAAGTGGCACAGGCTGCTTCAGGTGGTTAGTGGGTTCCCCTACAATGGGGGCCAAGGCTGAACAATCTCTTGTCAGAGAGGTGGTAGAAGGGATTCCTGTTCAGTTATAGATTAGAATGGATGACCTCTGAGATACATTCCAACTCTGAGATTTTGGGATTCTATCTCTTTGAGTTAGACCTGAATCCATTGTTTTGGTTACAAATGAAGATGTTAGCACATGGTTAAAAACAATCAGTCGACACATATTAAGCACCTACCATGTGCCAGGCACTGTGCTAAGTTCTGGGGCTTCAAAAAGAGGCAAAAGACAGTCCCCGCCCTTGAGGAACTCACAATCTAATGAGAGAAACAAAAGGCCGTAAAAGACCATAGGATCATAGGATTTAGTTTGGAATAGACATTTGCCTTTAAGTTATAGTAGCTAACATTTATATAGTGCTTTAAGGTTTGAAAAGTGTGATATATATGGCATCCTCAGGATAGATTTGTGAGGTAAGTGCTATTATTATCCCCAGTTTACATATGAGGAAACTGAGGCTGAGCCAGGAAGTACAGGCATAGGTTTCAAACCCGGGTCTTCATGACTAAAACCCCAAAACTGTGTCCATTACACTAATGCTACTGGTCTCATTCAGGAGAAGAGGGGATCTGCCTCCTAGCTGGTGAGTCCCCACTATCTCTCAATAGAAATCTTCCATTTTGAATAAAAAATGATAAAAGTGCAGGCAGGAGGACAGTTCTTTGTGATGAAGCACTTTATTGTGCCCTCAGTACAATAACAGTCTGTTCCCAGAGTGGATTTTGGGTTTGGAGGGATGAGGGAGTGATTATCCATCCGGAGGCACTGACAGCCAGAATGGAAAGAGAGGAGGGAGGAAGGGAGGATGCAGGCTTTGGGGTATACTGCAGCATCAGAATAGGGAATGGGGTCTGGAAAAAATAACTTTAAATTGATATTTTGAAAAATCCCTTGAGGATAGCTTAATTTCACACATTAACTTCTTAGATTTATAGATTTCCCATTGCCTTCAAAGGCCTGTGTGAAGCGAGCCTTCCAGACAAAACATTTTCTTACAGTGTTGATCAGAAGAAGCGAAATCAAATTGGCAATTAGGGCCATTAAGAGCTGCCAAACCAAGAGTGAGGCAAACCCAAGTAGTAAATACGTATGAGACTGGGGAAGCCTACCAGGATCAACATAGGAAGGACAGAGAGGCTGCGTAAACAACTTTTGAAACTTGCAAAGTTTGATACATTAACTCTGAATTATCACTTTTCCCTGGGCAAATCACTTCACCTCTCTGTCTCGGTTTCCTCACCTGTAAAATGAGGATGATTGTAGCACCTACCTCCTAAAGTTGTTGTAAGGATCAAACAAGATAATATTTGTACAGTGCTTAAAGTATAGTGCTGGGCACATAGTAGGCACTACTGGCTGCCTGACTAAGAACTCCAGTTTTGAGAGCAGCCATCAATTAAATAAGCAAACTGTCAGGACAGGATTATTTGTATCAGTGGTTCTCAGACTCTTTCTGTTCATGACACAGTGTTATTCTTTGCCAGAGGAATGGGGCACACCAAGGGAGTGTTGGGATACTCCCTCTTGTCATTGTTAATTCCAGACACTTTGTTGCAATACCTAGGGGAGGTTTGCCAGGACATAAACAGCTTCTGAAAACCACTAATTAACATGTATACCTGGGTCAACCTTTTGGATTACATGGATCGTTCAAACTAGTCACCTAGCTGGCAAGTGTTGGCGCCCAAACCCAGGTCTCCTGGCTCCAGTGCTCTTTCCTCATACCATTCTCTCCTTCTCTTGGCACTTTATAATAGACAGACAACTGAGTTTGAGAGATTGGGTGTTTATTGCTGATTAGAAATGTAGAAACACTCACTAAAAGTATGTTTTCCTGTGAGTTTCCCGATAAATGAAACTATTTGGCCTGTAAATGGATGGTTATGTTAGACAACATGGCACTGATCATGAGATCCTATAAAATGAGGAGAAAGGTATTGTGGGGGAGAGATTAACAAACTCATAGCTCTACACTTGTCTAGATCTGTTTGCTCTTGGATGAATTATGGCATTATTGGAAAGCTTAATCCAAGAAATTTTAGGGCATTAAGTCTATTTATCTCAAGGCCCTTGGATGCCTTATGGTTTAAGAAAAGATGTATAATGATCACTTGATAAGAGAACAACATGGCATTTTACCCAGTTGGGACAAAGTCTAGCAATATGATCTCCAAATCTACCCCATCAGTAAAAATGCTTGATTATACACTCCTATTATATGCACATTTATTTATTTATTTATTTATTTATTTATAAGGTAAGCATGTGCTACTATACTATATGTCATTGGAAAACATACAATTTTTTTTAAATGAGATCAGGATGAAATTATTGATAGCTTTTGTTCTCAAATATTATTAATAGTCATCTTTTAAGTGGGAACATGGAATTGAAGATGCCTCCTTGTTTTTTAAAATCATGATTTATAAGTTGCTTGCCTTCTCAATGAAGTGGGAGGGGAGGGGAGGGAGGAAGAGAATTTGGAATCCAAAGAAATTTAATGAATGTTTAAAAAAATTGTTTTTATACGTAATAGGGAAAAAATAAAATACTAAATTAAAAAAATCTTAATTTAGCCCTTTGTAATATGGCAATGTGAAGGTCAGATTCCAAGTTCAGTCTATTTTGATGCTTTGTTTTCATGTTTCAGAGATGAAAAGATAACTCCCACTGATATCTAGATCCAAATGGAGAAGCGCATAATTGGGCTTACTTACTAAATCATGCTACTCAGGGCTCATTCCCCATCCATGGATTATGCAAAGGCTTTTGTTGACATTCTGCTAGTCATTTCTAAGTAATTTCTGAGTTTCCCCCTAGACTCCCACAGCCTCACTTTGGCAACCAGTGCTATAGAAAACAGCAGAAGCAGAGAATGAGACTTTTGTACGTCCCTTGTATATAATAAATGCTTAGTAAAGATTTGTTTGAATTTTATTTAAATAAATTTACTCTAATAATAATATATTATAATTTACAAGTCTACTGATATTCTCTCAACCTGTGAGCTGGGGAGGTCAAGAAGGTATTATTCCTATTTAATCAGTGAGGAAACTGAGGTTTCGAGAAGTCATGCTGCAGAATATTATGCCTGGAAAAGACCAATTTTGTTCAAACCTCTCTTTTTATGAGTGAGGAAACTGAGGCCTCAAGAAGGGAACAACATGGTGGAGTGGAAAGAACGCTGGGTTGAGTCCTTCAAATTGTGATTTTATCTACATCTGTGGCCTTGGGTAAACCATTTTCCATTTTGGGTCTTCAGTTTCCTCATCTGTAAAATGAAAGGGGTCAACTCAACCCTAAATTTATGATTCTAAGTAAGGTCTCTCGCCTAAGAGCACACAACTTAGGATATTAGGAATTTGAACCCAGGTTTTCCAGTCCTAGTCCAGGGCTCTCTCCACTACCTAGTGCTATTATTAGAGTCTAGGTTTCCTGATGTATTATCCAGGGAATGTTCCGCTCCTATATGCTGATGGTGGTGAAATATCTGATACAGAAGTGGTACCCGTGCAGTAGCCATTGAGTCAACATGGATTTATTGGGCGGGCCAGTATCTTTGAGATTGAATTGGAAATACTGTATTTGCCATTTTTGGAGAAACGTCACATCCCTGAAATAATTGCATGTGTTGTTCCAGACTTCAAGTATCTGCAGGACTGCAGTGCATGCTGGAGTCATCAAAGATGAAACCGGGGGTTACGTGGATGTGATGCCCGTAGATAAAAAGAAGATTTACGTTGGTTCACTCAGAAATGGGGTTCAGTCTGAAAGGTAGGAGCACATTCTTCATTCTCTTGGAATATTAGCGGGGGTCACCTGTCTGAACCAGCCTGGAAATGGGACCTGGGTCCAAGAGATTGAGCAGCCTTTTACTGCAGGGTGGTCTGGTTTCTCCTGGCCCTCCATTTCTTATTGGGCCAGATGTTTGCCTGACACAAGACCCTTCCCTGAACTTTGTTCTAGCAAAGTATTTTACTCCATCGATGGTTGAATCTTCCCTGGAAGCCAGCCTTGAAGTAGATTAAAACAAGCTTAACGCTGTTGACCCATTTCTTTAAGGCTCAATGCTATGCTTTCAAACTTTTGGGGAATGAGCCCCGGACTTGGGCCTTAGGGGTCATCTGGTCATTTTTCAGATGAGGAGAACACAGAGACCCACAAGGTTAAATGACTTCCCCAGGGTCACATAGGTGGTAATTAGCAGAGCTGAGAGGGCCAGAGTCTCTACTGTTGTGTTTGAATTCATCGCATTGGTAATGCTGGTAATGAGAGCATTGCTATCAGCTGGGTCTATGCCATGTAGTGTAGGGGAAAGAAGAATGGTTGGGGTTGAGTCCTAACTCAGCCCAGCTTGGAGCAGTTAACAACACGTGAGTAAAGCAGTGGGGCTGGAGTCAGGAAGAGCTGGGTTCAAATCCAGCCTCAGACACTTAGAGAACCTCTGTTTGCCTCAGTTTTCTCAACTGTAAAGTGGGTATAACAATAGCACCCACCTCCCAGGTTGTTGTGAAGATCAAATAAGATAATAGTTATAAAGAGCTTAGCACAATGACTTGCACACAGTAGGCCCTATATCAATGGTCACTACTACCACTACTTATTTACTTACTTAGTACTTACTAGTCATGAAAGTTGGGTAAATCAGTTCATCTCTCCAAGCCTCAGTTTCCTCATCTGTAAAATGGAAGTGACAGTAGTTCTAGTCTTTTTTTTTTTTGGTACAGTCCTGTGATTTCATTTGGCACAGGGAATTCTGAATATGGGAACTCCCTTCACTGGCTCAGATTGGCAACTTGGTAGTAACTTAGGCTTTGAGAACTTCCTGGGGTATCAACTTGCTAAATGGCTTACTTGTAGTCACATAGATCGGTTGTTTCAGAGACAGAACAACTTAAAACCAAGTCTTCCTGACCCTGAGGCTAGCTCTCTATTCTGCCACCATTTTGCCACCACTATCATCACCATCTTCATCACCACCACCATAATTGTTATTATATATTAGTAACATATAAGTAATATCAATATGTTAATTGCCAGTGAGTGGTTAATTATTATATAATTATTTAGTTATTATAATCCATTCTTATCAGATAATTATTAACAATTAATATCAATCACTAAATGATATCGGTATATTATTCCTTCAACATTAGCAATTCAACATTGATATTAATATTCATTATTAATATCAATAACAACAACAGATAGCATTTATATAAAACTTTAATGTTTGCAAACGTTTTCCATAAGTTTCTCATGGGGTCCGGGCAGTAGACTTATGAGGCATGTGCTATTATTATCTGCATTTTACAGATGAGGAGACTGAGGCTAAGAGAAGTGAAAGGTCTTTCCCAGAATCACACAGCTGGTGAGTGTCCAGACTGGAACTTAGGTCTTTCTGCCTCCAAGTCCGGAGCTCTCCCCACTGTGCCACGAACTGGCCAAGTACACGTATCTTATAAATTAAGGCTGTTATTGTTATCATCACCAGCTAATGCCTCTCTCTTTTTAACATCATAACTTTCATTTGGAAATGCTTAATGAAGGGAAATTCCATTGACTTAATGGCCGGGAAATGAGGCAGCTGATTAACTAGAATTTCCTGTCTTGTGGAAAAAGAAATCCCAAGATACCAATTCTTGGAGGCCCCCCCCTTTTTTTTTTGCCTTTAAGAGAAAACAGTGTTTTGGAGAGAGGTTTTGTGGCCTACACTTTGTTCTCTTTGCCTGCCTCAACTTGTGTGAATATTATATACGCCACCCAATTGGGTAGAGAACAGTGATTTGTCAGGAGAAGGCTCCTAGCTGAGTACCTCGGGAGGCAGGAGAATTTCAATGTCTCCTTTACCCAGTCTTACCAGCTTGGTGCCAGGGAGCTTGGTGGGAGATGAAGGGCTGAAGTTCCCTGACCTCAACTCCAAGAGGCTTACAGTTTACTTCAGAGAGAGTTGTTATTATTATTGTTATTATAATCATCATCATTATTAGATAGCTTTATAGTGAGAAAGCACTTCACATATGCTTTATCAAGCACTTTGTCCCATCTGATCATCACAAAGAATCTGGTGAAGCAGTGGATGTTATCATCCCTATTTTATAGATGATGAAATCAAGACTGAAAGAGCTTAAGACTTGCCCAGGATCACTCAGTTAGGAAATCTCCAAGTCTGGATGGGAACTCTAGTCTTCCCAACTCCAAGTCTAGCATCCTTCCCACTGCACCACCTAATTGAGATGGATCCCCTGTTGGGAACTGATGGCGGTGGGGCATGGACCAGTCACACAGGACACAGGAAGGGATGGCTAGGTAGTGATCTACATCATTGGAGGGAATATTTGCACTGATAAGATCACAGGAGCATTTCAGTCCTGAGATGGCTTTGCAGCCCTCTTCCTTTGGGGCTTAGATGTGGCACAATGGGTCTCCTCGATAAAACTAGATTCCTTCAACTCGAGTACAAGCAGCGTTCTAGGAAAGGCATTCTTTTTGCATTTAGAACTTAGGTTGGCCCACCAGCCCTGCCACCTGCTAAATGTGTGACTTTGGGCAAGAAATTTCATGTCTCTTGGCCATGGTCTTCTCTTCTGCTGAACGGGGAAAGTATTACTCTGCTAGCTCATTCTCAAGGTTGTTATGAGGAAAGCCCTTGGTGATGCATGGTGTTGTAATTTTCTGAATTACAACAGCTCCAGCCAGCTGCTAAGAGAAATGATTCCCTTCCCCCCCGGTGCTAGCCTTTAGGTGCTCTTTCACCAAGCCTTGGTTTTCATACTAAGAGGACTTAGAGGAGAGAATGCTGTACTGGGAGTCAGGAACCCTGGGTTCTCATCCGTGGTGGGCCATCAGACAGCTGTAGGACCTTGGATAAATCATTCCGCCTTTCCAGGCTTCAGTTACCCTGTCTGTAAAATGAGAAGGTTGAATTAGATGATAAAAAGAGCTCATATGTTATTTAATGTTATTTGGAGGGGGGTTCTTAAATATGCAGTACACACATCCCCATTTTAGAGATTACAGATAAGGAATAATGCATTTGGGAAAGCTATAAAACCAATTCTATCTGGAATGTCAACTGTAAACTCTTTATCATTCTGACTCTCTTACTCACCAAAAATATATCTTTAGAAAACAAAATTCTTGCAATTAAGTGTTTCTAACCAAAAGACAATTAAGATTAAAATAAGTCAAAATGAATTTTGCTGCTCATTATCAATTTCCCTGCTTTTTACACCTATTGCCACTTACAGACATAATGATAATAGGAGTAGTGAATAAGTATTATTATCAGTGGCTTCCAGAAGGCCCATCCACTCTGGCCATTGGAGAGCACATCCCCATTAGATTCATTATGTGATTCCAAAAATGAAAATGACTTTCAAAAATGAGGATTCTAGAGACTGTCTGAGAGACAGTGTGCCCCTGGGTTATATGAGTTTGAGAAATGGAGAAGGGAACCGAGACCCAAAGAAATGAATTAATAAAATTAATTTAAAAAAACTTATCCAGGGATATATATATATAGGAAGTATAAAATAGAGCCTTAGATTGAACCCTGACCCTCTGAGTCCAAATCCAATGCATCTGCCACTATGTAAAAAATATTCTTCCTTCCACCTTTGGAATTTCTGTAGCCCCTGGTGGAAGGGGGATACCCAGTTTGTTTTAAGCAATGTTCAACATTTGCAAGAAATTGTTCCTTGAAAAATCATTTCTAAAATGAAGTTGTTTTGCTAACAGAACTAACATTAAGACTATTAGCTGAAATATATTTTCAGCCTTTTTTTTTTTAAGCTTCCCTAAGTTAAAAAGTGCAGTTTTATTTTTCCTGGGACGTACACAGGTTTAGAGGACTCTCATGGGGGCAGCGGAGTAACTGTTTTTCAGGATGGGTCCCTGCCCTGGGGCCTCCATTCCCACAATCTGGCAACTGGCTTTGAAGATATTTCTCAGCCCTTTGTTCCCAGAATGGTAGGATTCAGGGAGGTCCATTTTGAAAGAGGAAGAGAAAGAGAAAGAGAAAGAGAAAGAGAAAGAGAAAGAGAAAGAGACACAGTCAGTGATCCTAACGTTTCTCTATTGACTTCTCTCCTGAAATCCTGTGAGATGACTGTTCCTTTGTCATGGTCCCCTACTAGGGGATGAAAATGGTAATTTTGTTTCTCTACAACCCAGAGGACTCAAGGAACACTGTACTAGAATGCAAGACATTTTCTAAAAGTTGAAAGCAATCTTAAGGATCAGATAACTTAGGAGTTCTTAACTTTTTGTGTGTCTTGGCGTGCTTCAGCAACAGTCTGGTGAGGCCTGTGCACCTCTTCTCAGAATTGTATTTTTAAATGCATGAAATAAAATACAGAAGATTACAGAGGAAACCAGTTATATTGAAATACAGTCATCACAATATTCTTTGGGAAGTCCAGTCCCCAAGCTAAGAACTCTTGATCTTTTAAACTCCTCTTCCTTTCTGACATCTCCCCCTACCGCTCTCCATCCTATTTTTTAGAGGAAAAAAATGAGTCCTAAAGAGATACCAATTACCTGTTGGTCAATCTCTACTTGGATGTCTCATGGGCAACAAAACTTATCCAAAGCACAATTTATTATTATCTCCCCACTCCAATCTTCCACACTTCCTTCTTTCTGTTGAGGAAGCCCTTATCCATCTGTCACATATTCTACATCTTATATTTCACTTTTCTGCACCCCTCACTTCTGGTATACAATTAATTGCCAATTATGTCCATTCCACCTCCACAACATTTCTCACCCCATCCCCTTTTCTGCACTCCTTCAGCCTCCATTGTAGTTCGGGCCCTCATTATCCTTTGCCTGAATGATTATAGGAGACTCCTAATTATTCTCCTCATCTCTGATCCCTCCCCCTTTCCAATGCATCCTCTCTAGAACTGCCAAAATAATCTTCCAAAGGCATTAAATCCAAGGCTGAGGACTTTGTTTTTTATCCCAGAGGCAATAGTGATGCATGGAAGAATTTTCAGTATTCCCTCCTCTTGAAATTACTTTCAAATGGTATTTTAGGAAGGAGTAATTTTCAGTAATGGGGTGACATGGTCAGATCTGCATCCTTTCTATTACCAAATCACAGCAGATAATGGGGAACCCCAGTGAGTTGGCATTTCCAGTGAATCCTTGAAATATTTTGACATTTGTCAAATTGAGAATTTCAAGCCCCTGAGGGAGAATGATGAAGTTTAGATCCCTGGGCATCTTAGAAAGGTAGGTGGGGGTATTTGTTTTTTCAGGAGACTCTGAGGGACTTTTTTCTCCCTGAAGTTGGGGTTTGGAGTGTAAGAAAGAAGAAGAATCCTGAGTAAGTCAGCAGAGCAGTGTTCCCTTGTTCCAGAAAACCTTGGAGGGGAGGGGCTGCAGCCAGAGACCCCTCCTTTACTGGCAGCAAAACCGAAGGGCTAGCCACAGATTAAGTGGGTGTCACACAGTTCTGTCTTGGATCTTGGCTTCGCCTTTGGTTTCAATCACACTGTGTACTCCAGTCTGATGTATTAAAAAGTTCACTTCCAGGGTAGCCAAAAGCACGAAGCTAGCCTGAAGGCAGGAGTGGAGGGGGCCAGGGAGAAGGCAGACAGGGAGGGGGGTAGAAATTGCAAATAGTGGGTTTTCTCATAGAATTCTAGAATATTAGAGAGAGAGGAAATGACTTGTACCATCACAGGATTTGGAGCTAGAAGGGTCTCTGGACTAGAGGCTCTTAACCTGGGCTCCACAGACCCCCAAGGAGTTGGCGGATAGATTTCAGGTGCTTTGTGAATGTGTATGTGTGGTTTTTAAAAATGTATTTTGTATCTGTGTTTCAATGGTTTCCTTTGTAATCCTATGTATTTTATTTTATGCATCTTTTAAAAACCCGATTCTGAGAGGGGAGTCCATACGTTTTACTAGTCTGCTGAAGGAGCCCAGAACCCAAAAAAGATGAAAAACCCCTGATCTAGACCAGCTTCATCATTTTATTAATGAGGAAACTGAGGTTTGGGAGTGGAATGACTTAGAGCATCATGGGATTTATAGCTAGATGAGATCTCGAGACCACCTGATCAGACCCCTTCATTTTACAGGTGGGCAAAGCGACGCTGCCCAGAGAGGCGAGGTGGCTGGTTCAAAGTCACAGAGTTGAGATTCAAACTGAGAGCCTCTGATTTTCCCTTATTCCTAGCAAGGTGTTCAAGGGAAGGCTGGCTAACAGCCCATTGGAAATGTTGTAGTGGGGTCCTTATTCAGCTGTAGGCTGGACCACGTGGCCTCTGAGGCCTCTTCCTGCTCTGAGATTCTGGGCCTCCAAATTCAGGGCTTTTGCCGGTTCTGGACTAGAACCCAGGTCCCTAGTTTCTTAGAGTAAGACTCTCATATGATTCCAGCACTCTGCCTCTGCCTCTTCAGAATTCAGTTGGAAATCAGTTCCACCTCCTTTGCTCTCCTCCTGCGCTGACGACTTGAAGACCCGTCATCAGAGCAGCCCTTTCTAGCCACTGCAGACCCGGTTGTCAGCTGGGCTGCTTGACGCTACCCGGTTTGACAGTGACAAGTACCAGGCGAAGGGAAAGGCTGGCAAGGACTCCACAGCCCGAGGGAGACAGAAGGAGAGGGGCCCACAGAATGTTCAGCCGACTTCTGGCCACCAGACTTGTTTTCAGCATAGAGTCCTATCAAAGTATTAAGTTAAAAGAAAATAACTTAATGAGCCTGACCTAGATTCAAACCCTGAAGCATTTACAAAGTGCATTAAATCTGCCAGCTGCTCCTCCAGGCATGCTTCTCTCTCTCTCTCTCTCTCTCTCTCTCTCTCTCTCCCTCTCTCCCTCTCTCTCCCCCCCCCCCCCCCCCCCCCGCTCTCCCCTCCTCTCTCTTCTCTTCCCCACTCTCCCTTATCTCTCCATTCTTTCTTGCCACCTCTCTCTCTCTGTCTCTCTCTCTGTCTCTCCCTCTCCCTCCCTCCCTCTCTCTCCAGGAGTTGCAAACAAAGCATCCCCTCTCTCACACCCCTCTCTCACCCCTTTCACCTCCTCTCTCTCCCTCCCGCTCTCCCCTCCTCTCTCTTCTCTTCCCCACTCTCCCTTATCTCTCCATTCTTTCTTGCCACCTCTCTCTCTCTGTCTCTCTCTCTGTCTCTCCCTCTCCCTCCCTCCCTCTCTCTCCAGGAGTTGCAAACAAAGCATCCCACAGAAAAGAGCAGTCAGTTGGGCTTCCATAATAGAAAGAAAATTCATATTAATGACACAGGTTAACCTTTGTAGAAATTCTCAAGCAACTGGCTATGCTAAGGATCATAGATCAAAGTACAGAATGAGTCTTCCTATAGATTACTATAGGTAACCCCCTTTTTCAAAGAGACAGTCTCATGCTAGAGTGAGCCATGGTGTGGTGATGAGAACACTGGATTTAGAATTGGGACATGTGGATTCAAATCCTAGCTCATCTATTTACTCCATGTGTGACACTGGGCAAGTCATACTGCCCTGCTGACTTTCCATTTGCTCATTGGTAGAGGGTGGGAAGGAGAACTAAATGACCTCTAAGGTCTCTTTTGCCTGAGGGAATCTATGCTTCTTATAAACTCTTTCGTTTCAGTTGAACAATCCCACTGCTAGCACTGTGCTATAGCACAAGGTCTTTCTGCCACAAGCTTCTTCCACTCTGATCCATTTTATCCTCTGCTTCCAGATAAAGCATTCTTTGGTGAATATAAAGCACTGGCAGTGTGTGCTATTATTGTTTCTTATGCATAGATCTGCTCATACCAATCTATGGCTCAAAACTGGTCTTTAGAGACTTCTCATTGCTTACAGAACAAAGTTCAACTTTGCTAGCCTGGCATTAAGGACTCTTCACAATACGATGCCAGTCTTCTTCATCTTATGCTTCTCCCCTCTAGATGCACTCATTCCAGCCAGAGTGGGTTATTTACCATTCTTCAGAGGTCCCCACCAGTGGTGTCCCACTTCTTTTCTCATACAGTTTGCTGTATGATGCTTTTTCCTTGACCCTGTTTCTGACTATAGAAATCCTACCCAGTTTCAAGGGCTATTTTTAATGCCACAGATACTACCTATTCCATGATCCCCTTCCAATCCCTGTGTTCCTAGTTCCTTTTTTTTCCCTTTGAAATCTGGGTAACTGAGATCTAGAAGAGAAAAGTGATTTATTCAAAGTCACACGACTGGTTGTTGGCATATTGGAACACTGTACTTCTCAATGATATTTGTGTCCATTCACAGCATCATAGATCTGGGATTAAAGGGGAACCCAGAGGCCATGCAGTCAAAGTCCTTGATTTTACAGGCTTAACAATCCACATCAGAAGAGCCAAAGGCATGAAAAATGCCTTATATCCAGACAATGACATGTAGTCAGATAGATAGTCCATTGAGTTTGTGTGTGTATGTGTTCATATAATCATGTATGGTGGACAGGACCTGCTTATGGATAATAAACAGGGCTTGTTAATGATGCACACACGCATACACACGCACACACACACACCTACACTCTCATATACAAACTCAATGGGCTGTCCAGAGTTAAATAGTAGAAAGGGAGCATGCTACAATGCATTTGGGAAATTGTGCACTGTCCTCAATGACCCCAAGCTGCTCCTTGACGCAAAAGTCCATCTTTTAATCACTCAATTAATAAACATTTATTAAGCACCTACCATGCACCAGGAACTGTGCTAAGTGCTGGGGATACCGAAATAGGGAAAAGACAGTCCCTGCCCTCAAGGAGCTTGCAATCTAATGGAAGAGCTTACAATCTGATTAAATACCAATATTCTCGTTGTGTCTCTCTTCTGGTCATGATGTTTTTATTTCATTTTGTAGTTACTGAATTAAAGTCCTTGCGGGTTTGGAACCATGTCTTCTCTTTCCTTTCTGTCTCTCCCAACACCGTGCATTGAAAAGAAGCTCTGTATAAGTGACTGGGCAATGAATTGAGGGTCAATAATTCAATCCTTGTATTATTTTGCAGTTTGCGGACCCCTCGAGATGGAAAGGCTTTCCGGATCTTTGCAGTGAAGCAGTAAACTTTCAGAGCCAGGGAAGAAGGGACCTTCTTCACGAGAGTGCTACAATTTTGTTTTTTGTTTGTTTTTTTGTGTTTTGTTTTGTTTTTTATAAATTGTGAGCGTTGAAAAATTTACTTTTAGTGGCCTTTGATGTGACATCCAGGCTGAACGAACCCTTCCTTTCCCATTCATCACCTCGGGAGAGAGCAGCATCTCATCTCCATTGGGGAGCAGCGTTGTCCAACAAGGCTTTCAGAGACAGGCTATCGTTGACCTGAGGCAGGTGCTGAGACCCACTGCCCAAAGCCCTGGTACCATAACACGCAGGGAACAATGGCTGCCTGAGATGAACAAAAGATTTTTTTTAAAAAGCCATTCTGGTATGGGTATGTGTAGAGAGGGAGGGTTTCCAACTCTTCAGAGAAGAAAAGATTTTGACTCAAAAGTGCTCAGTTAACAGAATAGATTGGGGAAAAGGTATGTTAGGTGATGGGCGAGTAGAATTTAGTCAAGAGGGACGGATGGTAGAAGATGTAAAAATAAATAAAAACCATCCTTATTAATAAAGAAACATGGGTTTTAATGTTTGCTGGTCAGACAATTTATAGGAAATGAGAGGACTGGGGGAGGGGCGAAATAGAAAATGAGGGAATAAATCTCCTGTCCTGGTACATCTCCAAGTTAATGGGCCCCAACTGGTCATTAGTTTTTAATAACCAAGTGAAATTTAATACACACAGCAGTGCTGGTTTTATCTAAGCAGCAACTCATAAGATTAATGTTTTTGTCATTCATTTCATTCATTCATAGCACCTATTTTTTATTTCAATTTCTGGTGTAGTTTGGGGACTCATGGGCTAGAGTCTTTACTGTTAGCCCATATGATATGCCAGACTATAGGTTTTTATTGTTCGTGTGTCCTTGCTTTAAAGTGAATTTTTATTGAATCCTTGGTTCCATAGAGTAACTGAAGAACATGCCCAGTGTTGTGTATATATCAATGTGTGTTTGTGTGTATATAATAAACACATACACTTATTCTATATATACCCACACATGGCATCATTGTTAGGGCATGAAAATCCCCTTTTATGAATTACTTTCTCAAAGGATGACCTATTTTTTTTTTCCTTCTTAAATATTTTTGATTTTGGCTCCCTTCAAGCCTAGCACTCTTCCCCAGTGGACATTCTTCTCTGTGGTTAGCAAGATTTGGAGAGGGATGGCTTTGTGGTTATGAAGCTGCCCCTAGGTTTAATGACAACCGTAGAATGTAACACATGAGTATTATTTCTCTTCCTGTTATTGTGGAACTGTAGTTTCCCAATGTTCCAAGGCTCCGAGGAGTCCTGTGTTGTTTGGGTCATGCTTTTTTTTTTTTTAAACCTCAGTTCCTCATGAGCTTGTAACAAAGCTGCATAATAAAGATACTTATGTTAGAAATTCATTTTGTAGGATGGTAAAAGATTGACTTTTTTTTCCAAATGTTGGTTTTAAATTTAATTTTGTTTTCCATGGAGTAAGTTCTAAGACAGGGACCTAGCATCAAGTTAAAAATCTAAGCTGGTTTGCACATTATCAAGAAGTTAAGCATGGGAGATCTATCTACCTTGGGAATAAGTAAGGCAAAATTACATTATTGCATGCCAATCTACTACAGCATTTGAAGATAGGTAGACTTTAGCTTTAGATAGCAAGAAAGCAATTAAATTTGTAGCTAGACAGATGCTAAAAATTAGTTTGAACATATTTTGCTTAATTAAGTGCCTGCTTGGAGTTATTCATAGGCATCTGCGTGAAAAATTTCATTATTCCAATATTCATGTGTTCATTTGTCCATTCAATGTTTATTAAGCACTTACTGTATGCAAGGCGCAGTGCTAGACACTTACGTTTTGTATGAAGGGTGCCAAATATCTGGATATTTGGCAGCCTCTGGATGCCTAGGGTCAAGATGACAGAATTGTCCACTTTTTAATGAGATATTTATGGTTGTGTTACGCAAGTCAACCAGATTCCTTAGTTTGGTAAATAACATGGTAACAGTCCAGTGAAACCTGGGTATATTTCACCAGCAAGCATCTTGCTATTAAGTAGATACCAGAAACTCTTTTCATATACTTAAGTGTCTTGTATGCCTCATTTGAACATAAGGTATTGGTGCTCTATAAAAGCCATAACTTCAATCCTTCTAACAGTGTAAAATCAACTTGACCAGAACCAGATCTCTGGTTTGATTGGGTTTTTTTTTTTGTTTTGTTTTGTTTTGCTTTTCATTCATCACCTGTGTATTTTGAAACTGGAATAATTTTCATTTGTAATCACTGGTCTTTTTAACTGATAGCATGTCACAATTTCCCCATAAGCCTGTTGGACAAGGGCCATCTGTAAATCCATGTTTTGCACTGGGCCATGCATGGTATTAGAAATCGACGTCTAATAATCTAAGAAACAAAAGTAGGGTCAGGTTATTTCATGTCTCCTGTTTCCCAAATAAAATGCTTACCATTTTCTTTGATTGTCAACTTTCACCGTGTTCTTACATCTGTATTATGTTTAATAATATTATCTGCAGGTCACCTCTACCTGCAGTTTATATATGTGCTTTTTTCTATGAAAAATGATGTATTTTTACTATTTCCTATGTACAAAAGTTTATTGTAAATTTTTTTGTGTGTGCTTTGCATGAACAAGGGGCCATACTTTGTTTTTTAAAAAGTCTAGTTTTTTCCTAAAGTTTCTGGAAAATAGCATTTTTGAGAAGTTTGGACAATTTGTGAAATAAAAAAAATGTTAAACACCAAAGGGGTCCTCCTAGTTATTTCATTTTTTTTTGTTTTTTTTTTTTTTGGTTGGGCAGTGGGGGTTAAGTGACTTGCCCAGGGTCACACAGCTAGTAAGTGTTATGTGTCTGAGGCCGGATTTGACCTCTGGTCCTCCTGAATCCAGGGCCGGTGCTCTATCTACTTCACCACTTAGCTGCCCCCCATTTTTTCTATTAATAAAGACAGTGTGGTTTCACAGGAAGAGCAATGCACTTGGGGTCAGAAGTCCTGGCCTAGCCACATGAGGCCTGTGAACAAGTCACTTTATAAGGTTTCATTTGCCTTATCGTCTTCATTAGCATCTGTGTGAAAAAAACTTCATTGCCCTGATGATCATTTGTCAACTCAAAATTTATAAGCACTTGCTCTTTGCAAGGCGACTTTGTAGGATTTTTGAGGGAGGTACTCTAAATGTGAGCTATTATTGCTATTACCTGTAACTAGATGTGAGTGACTTGTAAATCTGGGTTAGGCATCATGGGTTTAAGAAAAGGGGGGAGGGAGCAGTTAGGTGACACAGTGGGTAGAACACTGGGCTTAGAATCAGAAAGACTTATCTTCCTGAATTCAAATCTGGCCTCAGACATTTATTAGCTGTGTGACCCTGGGCAAGTCTTTTCACCCTGTTGGCCTCAATTTCCTCATCTGTAAAATGAGTTGGAGAAGGAAATGGCAAACCACTTTAGTATCTTTGCTGAGAAAACCCCAAATGGGGTCACCAAGGGTTGGACACAACTGAAAAATGACTCAACAACAACAACAAAGGACTTGAACTTGGAGCTTTCAGACTGAGGGCAGCTCCTTCCTGCTACAGTGTCTGACACATAGTAGGTTCTTAACAAATGCTTGTTGACTTGACTCTCTTCTACTTGACAACAGCCCTTGCAATAATTAGAAATAAAGCTAGCAGGTCCTGCCCCCCTCAAACCTTCTTATCTCTGGGTTCCACATTCCTTCCTCCCTTCATGTTGGTAGCAGCTTCCCTGCACTGACAATATCCCAGTGAATTGCTCTGTTTTTCTGTTTAGGTTTCTCCGTTTATGAAGTCTGAAGTCTGAACCCAGACTAGGAGCTCAAGCCACTTAGGGAAAAGAGCCTCAGAGAATAAGGAGCTGGCCCAGGAAATTGGCTCAGACTTTCTTTTGAAGATGATTTTTTTTCCCCCTTTTCATTCATTTCAACGAAGATTTGAAGAGTTTTGATGATGTGCAAAGCATTGTGCTAGATGCAAAGACAAAGAGACACAGTCCTTGCCCTCAAAGGGATTCTAATCTATTAGGGGTATACAGACATATAATACAAGGTATGGGATGATGAAGGCAAAGGAGGGACCATAGGAAAATTGTAGAAGAATGCTCCCACGCTTAGCTGGGGGAACCAGGGAAGGCTTTAAGGAGGAGGTGATGCCTGTACTGAGCCTTAAAGGATTTTGACAAATGGAGATGAAAAGGGGGGATATTCTAAGCATGGCCTGCACAAATGCAGGAAAGTGTCAGAGGGCAGAAGACTTGGCAGGATCTAATCAAGTCAAATCAACAAGCATTTATTAAAGATTTATTATGTGCCAGAGGCTATGCAAACGTTGGCAGCTAAGTGGTGGGAGGACTGGAGCTCAGAGATACTTGAAGCAAGACCAACCCAAGGGCTATTGCAATAGTCCAAGTATGAGGTGATGAGCACTTGCACCAAAGTGATGACAGTGTCAGGGGAGAGAAGTGGGTGTACATGAAAGATATTATGACGCTAAAATCGACAGGCCTTGGCAATGGATTGCATATGGGAGTGAGAGAGATTGAGGTGTCTCATGAGGGTGACTGGGAGGATGGTGGTGCCCTCAATGGAAATAGTGAAATTTGGAAGAAGGAAGATGGAGGGAGGGACAAGTTTGGTTTTGAACGTGTTGAGTTTAAGATGTCCTCAGGACATCCAGTTAGAGATGTCCAATAAGCAGCTGGAGATTCAAGACTGGATATCAGGAGAGAGGTTAGGGCTGGATAAATAGATTATCTGAGAATCATCTGCATAGAGATGATAACTGAATCCATGGGAGCTGATGAAATTGCCAGGCAAAATAGTATATAAGAAGAAGAGAAGAAGCGTAGTCTTGGAGGACACCCACAGTTAATGGGCATGACCTAAATGAAGATCCAACAAAGGAGAAGGAGGAGTGGTCAGACAGGTAGGAGAAGAGCCAGGGCTGCAGTGGGGGGAGGGAGAGGGAAAGCAGTGTCTTGAAAACCTAAGGAGAGATGAGCATGAAGAAGAAGAGGGTAATCAACAGTGTCGAAGAAAGCAGAGAGGTTGAGAAAGATAATGGTTGAGAAAAAGCCATTAGATTTGTCAGTTAAGAGAGCACTGGTAACTTTGGAGAGAGCAGTTTCAGTTAAATGATGATGTTGGAAGAGAAATTAAAAAGAATTTCAAAGAGAGTGAAAAGAAAGGATGAGAAAGCAACAATTGTAGGTGGCCTTCTCAAGGAGTTTAGCTAGTGACTAAGATACCATACTAGGTACTTGTGGGTTTACAAATAAGATACAATCCCTCCATTCAAGGAGTTTATAGTCTAGGAATGGGTTGGAAAGGGAGAATATACTCCACTATAAAAATGGCTATAATGTGTGGTAAAATTATATCATCTGAAGAACAAATGCTATGCTATAGGAGAGGGGATTTCAAGAAGGGAGAGATTGTAACTTTGGGGAGGGGAAAATCAAAAAAGACTTTATGGAAGAGGTGCTATCTAAGCTTGGTCTTGAAGGATGAATGAGATTCCCAACAGGCAAAGTTGAGTTGGAAAGAGAGAGAAATACAGTAGGTATTTAAAGTTACAGTAACAGCATGAGCAAAGATTGAATAGTATGGGGATAGGTTTTGGTGGACAGCATGGAGTCCAGTTTGACTAAAGCATATAGTACATGCAGAGCAGTAATGGAAGATTGCCTGGAAAGAGAGTACAGGGATATATTATTTTGACTTCATTCAGCAAATATGATATGTTTAGGAAGATTAATTTGTCAGTGTATATAGGATAGTTTTACCAATGGATTGGGGCGGGCTGGGGGCGGGGGGCGGAGAAGAGATCAGTTAATAATCTATTAAAATAGTCCAGGTGAGCAGACCTAAACTAGAGTGATGGCAGCAGTTATGGAGTGGAGAGAGTAGATGTGAGATATTTTGACAGTAGAATCAACAGGACTTGGCAAGAGGTAAGAGAGAAAAAGAAAAAAGATTGATTCGAACACCTAGAAGATTGCTTTTTTAAAAAAGTAAAGTTGGAAGAATACTTATAGCCTTGTGATGCAAATAACTAGGCTTTCCATGGGCAGCAAAAAATGGTGACTCAAAGAGAACAACCCTGATTTTTTTTTCTATAAAGGTAGAACTTTTTGTATTACAACAACTAACTCATAAATATTACAGTATTATTTTACAGGAAAAAAGAATATTTAAAGAGCAAGATTTAAAGAAACAAAAACTCCCGTCTGCTGGATCATATTGTATCTCCCAACCTTTGGTGTGATGTCCACCAAAACTCAGTCCTGGACTATCTTTAACTTCATTCTCTTTGGTGATCTTATTATACATTCAGAATTGTTCTCTCTCTCTCTCTCTCTCTCTCTCTCTCTCTCTCTCTCTCTCTCGTCTGAGGTAAGGTTTGAACTCAGGTCCTCCAGTCTCCAGGGCTGGAGTTCTATCTACTGCACCACCTAACCACCCCCCCTTTCTCTTTATATGCAGGTCATTTACCAAATGTCTTAAGACATTGTTTCATTCATCACCTCTTGCTTACAGTATTATAATAGTCTTCTAACTGGTATCCTTGTCTCCACTCTCTCCCATTTCTAATCTGTCTTCTATGTCAAATATAATCTTCTGAAGGCACAGGTCTGATTATGTAACTAGTTTGCTCAAAAGGCATCAATGACTTCTAATGCCTTTAGGTTAAAGTACAAATTACTCAGCTTGGCCCTCCACAGTTTGTCTCCACCTAATTTTCCAGCTTTATTTCACATCATCCCTCCCACCTCCATCCCATTCACACTCTCCACCTGGTTAATTTGCTGGTCTCCACACTCTAACAGTAGTGGGGAACCTTACACCTTGGGGACACATGTGGCCCTCTAGGTCCTCAAGTGCGACCCTTTGACTGAATCTAAACTTGAACTCAGTCAAAAGGCCACATCAAGGACCTAGAAGGCCACATGTGGCCTGGAGGCCAGAGGTTCCCCACCCCTGGCCTGGGTTATCCCTGCTGCCTCTGATGCATTCACACAAATCACACTCTCCCTCAGTTCTCGAACACACCCTCTCCTCAATTCGGCCTCTCTTTATCTTCATCTTCCTTCAAGGCTGAGCCCAAGAATCAACTCTTCCACCAAACTTTCCATTACTGTCCCCAGGTCTTGATCCTGTCTCTCCTCGTTTTTGCTTATTTGTGAACATACTGTACATACCCCCGCCCTCACATTGTTAGAATGCCTACCCACAACTCCAGAGGAGCAAAGATGAAACCTCCTTCCCACTCCTTGATAGGGGAGGGCTAGACCATAGGGGAGGAATGACACATATATTTTGTACATGGCTAATGTGTGGGTTTGTTTTGTAGTTTTGATATCTGCTTGACTATGCCCATTGATTACACATATGGGAGGGCTTTTTTTAATGGGGGAGGGAGAAGAGGAAGATATTACAAGGCAGAAAAGAATGATAAGAGCATCAGTGAAGCATTAAAAATGCACAGAACAGAATAGAAGGAGATTCAGAGGGAAATAGACAAGAGGGTGGCTTTGGAACTAATATTCAATGTGTTACATACTTTTTTTTTTTTTTGTTTTGTTTTGTTTTGGTTGGGCAGTGGGGGTTAAGTGACTTGCCCAGGGTCACACAGCTAGTAAGTGTTATATGTCTGA